CAGCTAATCGCTTCATCGTTTTTAGAATTTGAAATAAACATATATTAATTTATAAAATTGCAGAATCATGTTCTGTGTAACGCCAGAACCAGGGGCTGTTGGATTTTGCCTGTAGATAAAGAAACAGCCTGTGTGTTATTCCATTAACCTGTCGAATCGTGTGTCAACAGACGCCATGTTACCGAGATGGAAGCAAAACACGCCTCAAACTATGCCAGTCAGTGCAGCGGGGGTGTGTGCCCGTCACATATGCTACACAGCGCCGGCCAGTGAACACGGTTGTCCAAATAAATCATAGAAATATAATATATCTATTAAATTAAGGTCAATCACAATGGCCGCGCTGTCTTAAGTTATAAATAACTTGGTCCGTTTGAACCCTGGGATCATAGGTTCGAATCCCACTGAAGTCATTAATGTTTGTCTGCGTTTATGTTGTGTTTGTCGGTAGCTGCTTTGCTTCGGGCTGCTCCTCCGTCCAAGGACGGAACGGAATGAAGGAACCGTGGATTCGGGGTGATAAAACTCCGAGAAGAGGTTTGAATCTGGACCTCCGAAATGCGAAGCAGGAGTTGTATGTATCGTGACGCGAGTTTGGGAAGCTATGCAATCGAAACAGTGTCATTTCGCTTAGTGGGGGGTGGAGTCCAGCTGGGTCCACTCGGCACGGCGGCCATTGATTGGCCTATTGTACCTGCCCCAGGTGATTATGATGATGGAGAATTTTGTGGAATGAAGATTGGCAAGGGAAACCGAAGTACTCGGAGTAAACCCGCCCCAGAGCCACTTTGTCGACCACAAATCCCACTTGACCAGACCCGGCATCGAACTCGGGCCGCCGCGGTGAGAAGCCAGCGACTAACCGCTTGAGCTGTGGCGAGGCCTAGGCAGGGTCATTAGTCGCATGATTATTTCAAAACACTAAACTGGATCAAATAAGGATCTGGTGCTGGTCTTCGTTAAGGTGCGTTTGCGTAAAAGACCTAAGTACCTCTGGCGAGAAGTTCTTCAGATTGGAAAAAAATTGTTTTTGGAAATATACCATCGTTTGCCTTGTCCATCAGAACGAAATGTAATTTCCATATTCTGTCTAATCTCTTTAAAGCAAGCACCATTTTTCACATAATATTTGCTTTGTGGCTACGTTTGTTAACTCCACTCAGGAAAACAAATATTATCTGGAAGGAAATACTATATATATATTTAAATTTAATTATGGAGTCGGGATAGCTCAGTCGGTATAGGGATAGACTACGGGCTGGACTGCTGGGTTTCGAGTCCTGGAAGCAGAAAGAGTTTTTTCTCTGCTCCACGCCGCCCAGACGGATTGATTCCCACCCAGCATTCTGTCCACCTGGCGGCTAGGACTGTGTCGTCTGGAGTAAAGCGGCCGGTATTTGAAGCAGAAAACTCACCTCAGTCTAGTGCTCAGTTCGAGAACGGTGGAGCTATGCCTCCGGTACCCCACAAATCTTCATAGCGTGGTGCTTAAATAATTAAGCACAGGGACAACTTTACATTTTACTGTATATCAGTAGACGTAAAGGGTTGATGATAAAAGCTGTCTTGAGTGGAGAAGGTAAGCCTGGTATTAGTGAAGATAATTTTATGTAATTTTGATACTTTTTTCCGAAGATAACGAAATTTTTCAGTATTGCAGTGAAGGGTTCTCAGTGTTTATTGATTTTCTTATATTTTACTAAATCACTAAGATGTTTAGTCCTCTGCTAGAAAAAAAATTAAAAATGACCTTCCAAAAATATTTAAATCATACCTATAATTGAAACATCCGCAGGTGAAACTCGTTTATACACATGCTGAAATTCATAAATATAAGTAGTGTAACTGCTTATAAAATTCACGTCAGTTCGGTAGAGTTAAACTTGAGTATATTGGACTCACAGCCTCTCCTTAATAATATTGTTACGTGTATACTCATTGCCAGGTAACGGCTCAATAAATATATAATGCCCGCGGTAAACACGCCTCACCGATAAGGAGGACGTTTTCTGTGTGGTCCTAGCCCTGACGGTGCGTTAAACACACCTAAAATAATACGGGACAATAGAAGACTATATCTTTCGTGAGGTCCGTGCAAAGTTGTTATAAAGAAGAATTCTGTTGAGCAGGATAGAGTGGAGAGTCGAGTTTCCGGACGCCAGCCTGCCGGGACATAAGCTTGGGAACAGAGGAATTGAACTGAGTTGAGTCTTCGGAATTGGCGGTTGCAGAATTATGGGAAGAAAGGAATTGGGTTGTGAAAGAAGACTTTAGGTGTGATTTGGCGTTACAGTGAGACTGTGATAAATCCGTTGCCAGGATGTGACTAGTTAAGACCGCGAACTCTAGTGCTGGTGTTACTGTGAACTGCAAAGGTGCAGAATAGCGATAGCGCTGTACTGCCTGTAGTCCCGTGTTGTGAATGTACAAGGTGCAATAAGTCCTACTATCCAATCCAAAACCCGTCTTATATATCACCCGTACACGTGACAGTATGGTGATATTTGCATCTTGTCACCACTGACAGGCTTACTCACTACCATGTTTATGTTCCTCTCTGAAAGAACGCCATATTCATTCCAGGGCCGCTACGTGTCAGCGTTGAGAAATCTCATACCCCTATTTCAGGAACCAGTCTCATCTTAGAGTAAAGCTAACAAGCTTGTAATTACTGTTTACTCTGTGCTTAGTATTCCGAACAAAATCATGACAGTTCCCCTTATTTGTCTCCTCAGTTTATTTAGCGACAATAAGAGATGTGTTAATGCTGAATCAGATACGAACTGATGACTATGAAGCGTGAATAAATTCTTGGCGCCCTGTGCTAATATAGAGATTTTACAAGAAACGCTGAGAAAAATACAACACCAAGTATATCACAGTCGGTGTAGTGATGGGCTAAGGAGTAATTGGCCTGCGTTTGATTTTTGATATGGAAGAGATTTTTATGTTCTCTATAGCATCTAGAACGACCCTGGATGCTACCAGCCTCTTAATCGGGGGNGGGGGGGGGGGGGGTGTACGATGGGCTGTTTCTCTGGAAGGAACGCTGCAGGGTAGTGAAGTAGACAACTCATCTCCATCTAGTGCTGTGGTCAAGAACAGTGGAGTTATGGCATAGTGTTTTAAGTATCATAGTTTGCATCCTGTTGTTTATTAATATATAGTATTGTCGCCTGTTTGTCTACTGAGACGCCGGTCTTGGATCTCACGAATTTATTGCAAACTTTTATCCACACTTACACAATTCATAATTTCATTGTCCCAATTACTTCTTCTGCTATAGTCACTTCTGGACTTCAACTGTACTCGGCGACTGCCAACCTTCAATTGTCTTGTCTCCAAGTCCAAGTCAAATTGCGACTGACGGTCATTCAGTCAGTAAGTCTTGGTGTCGAGCCCCATTTTGGGCTCATGACCAAATATTTATTACTGTTTGACAGTTACGTTCTTGCTTTTGTTGGGTGCCCTCTCTGATGAGAGGACGGGTCTGTTTATTACATATGCTGCTGGTCCTTGCCAAGGCAACCTTTCTCGGATCCGGGTCCCTTGGGGCTCTCGGCCATATTTTACTGTTTCAGATTTTAGATTTCCCCTTTCGTCGCCTCTTACGACTCGCAGGGTCACGGTGGAGGCATTCGTCCCCGTCTCCACACGGGCATCTTACCTCACCGTCTTTTCTGATGCATTGAACTCCCGTACATAGGTCTCTCGCGGACTACACAGAAAATAGTCGCGACACTGACACCATAGAAAACCCCGCACTCCCACTGTTGCCTTGCATGTATTCAGTCGCGAGGTGTTAAGCTTTCAGTTACGCTGTGTCCATCCACGTTACATTATTGTACATGAGTTTTGTTTCTCCTGTCAAGACACAACAGTATACCAAACAACTCGCTCACATAACTGAGTTTATTGGTCGTACAATGTCGCAACATTTTTCGGCTCATGGGGCCATCATCAGGCGATACATTAACAGATTAAGTTTCATATGAAAGTGATTAAGTAAAGGGAAAGAAGGACACCATATATTTCGTTTCTTCGTAACACACAATACAGTGGATCCATATAGGAGGACCGTCAGAAGCAATGTGACTTTGACTTTGACTTTGGCGTACAAGAATTGACAAGTTTATGTAATGCTTTCGTTTTAGCTTTAGGTTTTTGTGTGGCCCGCGTACAGCTTGTTTTAAACTTGTAACTACGGAAAAATGTTAACACTCTGAAAGTTACTGCAACTCTACCACATAAACTAAAGACTTCTTCTTCTGACGACTTTTGCTTGTTTTCTCTTTGTCTTGAAAGTCAAAATTATGTTACGACCGACGATCAATCTTGGAATAAAGCACCCGTCTGGGGCTTAAGACCAGATCTATATTACTGTCAGACAGTTGCGGGTGTGTTGATTTGGGCGCTCTCTCTGACGAGAGGACGGGTCTCGTTTTCCAGGGTCTTGGTCAACAGTAATAAGTGTTTTGTCAATATGTACAATATATTTACATTTTACATGTTATTAAATGTATGTATATACAACATAACAACGCCTCTGTCAGTCCAGGCTCCGTACAGCAGATCATGCACTACCATTAGTAGATCCTGCTGCTTGACCGCCGCCATATCTAAGCCTCTTATATTTCCTGTGTCTTTGCCTGACTTTAGGTCATATCTGTTAGACGGTCGTGATAGCAGACATTCCATTCTGCCCTCTGAGATCGCTTTGCGTCGGGAACTATATCTGCTTAGTGAAGCGTTGTGTTAGAGATCCACGTTCGTTGCTATGCGTTGGAATTTGAACACGTTTAGCCAAACGTTACCTAGCAAGGGCTGACTTCACTGCGGGAGGAATGTTTACCCAGCCGTTGGCTGGCAATGGACGTTTGTTCTGACTTTTATATTCCGTCTTTTAAACGGCTCGTCACAATATTAATGTTCGCGTTGCTCTGTCAAGATAATATATAATGAATTTCTTAGACGATCTGAAAAAAATTGTTCTGTGTTAGGTAACGTCAACGATGTTGTTGGCCGTAAGCACAACCGTGCGACGTGTAGAGGACGCAGCTCAAAGCAACCCAATGAAATCAGCCTTTCGTCTCTCTTAGCAGTTTAACGTGAGTACTCGAATGCAATTGGTCACTTCTTATTTAAAATGTAGTTTATTTCAGTGCTTTTTGGTGCAACTCAAATGTTGTGACCACTGCAAAGCCTCAATTTATCCAGCACGTAACATTCTCAGACAACATCTGAAGACTATTCCAGACAAGGCATATATATTATAAATTGCCTGGACGTGACGAGGATCGTCGGACAGACATTTCCTTCCGTCTGTTGATTTCGTTGCAGCGGACTGATATATTCAGAAAATTAGGTTTGCAGATGTGGCATATTTTACTCTTAATGGAATTACTAACAGAAGAGTCAAAGAGACAGAGCATTTAATCTGTTCTTCTATCAAAATACTTTACTGCATTCAGCAAAATTTTGTGTGCTCTATGCCTTTGGGCGATTTCTGATATTTCATTTAAAATGGGACACTGTCAACTGATCATTAAAAATCAGCGGTGTCAAGTACACAAGCAGCTGGAATTGCGAAGTTAAATAAAAAAATCACTAGTCCACCTCTCGTTCATTGCTTTTTCCGATGCCCCTTGTAAAATCATAGCGTCTCTTTCTTTTCCTATGTTTATTCCCGCATTGGTAATGAAATACAGTGCTCGGAAGGCAGCGGTGGAATTCACTTAGCATGTATTCATTTAAACTCATTCTGCACGCTAAACCCAGCAATTTCACGAGACTATTACTCTGTGATTCCTTATATTCTGGAAACTAAAGCCTTTTGCAAATGTCGGTTCTCTGATAAAGATAGGATCCCAAACCCCTAGGATAAAGTACAGATTTATAGTCACGATTCAGATGTATGTCTCCTATGCTAACAGCTCTACTGCGGAACACAAAAAAGGGAAAAGGCATGTGTAGATTCAGGCTTTATTATGGAACTTGTGAGTGACTGAAGCTAATTTCGCGTGTACTTCTCCATCGTTTCTAGGACGGGATTATTGCAAGGAAGATCACTTATAGAGCAGTGAAGCGTGAAAATTCCATCTTCTCTACACACATACACACACAGACGAAATGACATGGCAGAATAAGGAGGGAAGTGAGAGAGGAAAAATTACGGAAATAACTCTGTTTTGTCGACATGCGGTCATAAATCAACGCTTCTCTGGTTCCTTCAAGTTAAATCCTTCTCAATTATACTCTGTTCTCTCCGGACACAGATTCTGTAGCCCTGAGGCTGAAAAGTTATGAAAATCCTCAGCCACTTTCACAAGTTCCTGCTATAAAAATTGATTTGAAAAAAAGAGTCACAAGATTAAGAGATTGACTTTATATTTATGTGGCAGCTTGTTAACGAATAGGGAATGAATTTTGAGGCTGTAAGTTCGTCTCAGACTTACCCTTTATTTTTTAGTAGATATAATGTAAGCCACAATGGGTTTTCGGTTACGATTTCTGGCGTAATAAAATTTGTAGTTCAGCACAACTTTTTGAGTCATATTATTTTGTTTCCGACTTTCATTACAGTAGAGAAGTCGACATCATTTCTAGTTTTAGACATAACAAATTTGCCTGTAAATGAAGGTAGAGTCAGTTTAACTAGATAATAAACACCCGTATGTGTTATGTGCTTCTCATCCGGCCGTGGGAGCGCAACCATAAACTTTATAACAATGCAGTGGGAATATAAAGTAAAAGATATCTGAACAGAAATCATAAAATATACTTTCCTACTAATTCTTTTGCCCCAGAGATCTATTTCTGTTGTTATTGTTATTTTGTTCCTGTGAAGACCTTACTGTTTATGCACATATTATTTCTATATTAAATTTGTCGGATATAAATTCAAAGTTTCTCACAGTCCCCACATTTGTAAGTGCCAACTTGCAAACTTTCCACGTTATGCATAAATACGTCTATAATCTTCTTCCATCAGATTTCACTGGGTGGCACGCAGTAGCGTAGTTGGTTGAGGCAACATGCTATAAGCCGGAAGGTCTCGCGTTCGATTCCCGATGAGGCCATAGGTTTTTTTTAATGTACCTACTCCTTCGAGCCGCACTATGGCCCTGCGGTTGACTCAGCCTCTAACAGAAATGATTACTAGGAATCTTCCTGGGGGGTAAAGAGCGGCCAGCGCGTAAGGCTGACAACCTCACCGTCATCTATGAACCGTTTGTCTAGAAAATGTGTGAGCTTCGATGTCTCACAACTCTGTGGGCTTCCACGGCCTGTTACAGGGATATATTTACCTTTTAGCTTTTATCAAATTTCCCTTCCTTGTTTCCAATGCTTTGTTAAATATCGCCATGCGCAGGAAAGAGAAAGAACATTCCATCATGCCGTTATTTCACATTCTACAAATAGTTTATATCTCGGTCTCTATAACGACTGACTGGACGTCCAGGGTTCGATTCCCTGCAGAGGCAAGACATTTTTCTCTTCTCCAATCATTCGGATCGTCTCTAGGGCCCACCCAACATCATGTGCAATGGGTACCGTGGAGCTCTTTCCCCCTGGGATAAAGCGGCCGGGGCGTCACGCTGACTATTCGCCTCATCTAGTGCCGAGGTTAAGAATGAATGGATTCTAAAGGGATCTGGCGATGGTGTATAATACTCAGAATTACAGATTTTTTAACTTTATCCACCGTCCGTTATTTTAGAAACTAGAAATGAACGTTTCGGAAACTGGATCTGTTTCCGTCCTCAGGTGAGGATGGCGAGACACCTACTGTGTTGCGTCCCTTAGGAAGAGCTAACCTCAGTCACTGTACAACTCTTGCTGAGTCTGAGTCAGTCTCAGTCGGCCAGTCTATCTTGGAATAAAGCACCCGTCTTGGGTTTAGGACAATTTTTTTACTGTCAGACAGTTGCGAGTTTGTTGATGTGGGGCGTTCTCTCTGACGGAAGGACGGGTCTGTCGTTTACAATTGCTGCTGGTTCTTGCCAGCACAGTCATTCTCGGGTCCGAGTCCCGTGGCACTCTGACCATATTTTACTGTCTGATTCAAGAATGCCGTGTTTGTCGCCTCATACTGCTCGCAGGGGTACGGTGGAGGGATTCGACCCCGCCTTCACGCTGGATTACCTTCTGTTAGATTCAGTACAGCTATTTAACCACCTACGATCATGCTATTTCGGAGAGAGAAAACATAAAAATATGCTAAAATATTCTGATAAAGCACGCACATTCGTGGAACTAGGATAGAAAGGGAATAGGAATTTATGCTACAAACGTAGCCGACAAAACCAATAGGATGAGCACCGTTGCATGAAATAAAATTGGAAAATATGTGAAGACATGTGGTGCATACCGCTAGCGCAATCTGTAGAGTAAAGTCTGAACACTCGAGACTAAAATGTTATAGAAAATCGTGAAGCTACACTCGCGAAACAGGCAGAACTCTAGCCGTGTGGTTCCGTGAATATATGCACAGTCTCAAAGAAGGGCTTCTAGAAAATATAAAATTAGGACAACATGCCTATGAAAATGATCATAGGATGTACTGGGATGAAGCTAGGATTTTGGAAATTGAAAGTAATAGAAGGTATAGAAAATATAAGGAATCTGTCCATATGACATGCTTAACCAATTCGATCAACCAACCCAATTTGGACATTTCTCCAATCTGGATCCCCCTTATCAGCAGTGAGGTTATCACCTCACAGAGAAGATCTGTATAACACGAATGATTCCTCATGGGTTTTACTGAGCATTTGCCTAGCAACGGCCGTCTCTTCAGGCTACATTATTCCGCCTTTGAGGCGTCATGTCACATTGCGTTCAAAAGTTGTTCGGGGAACTCACAGAGAGCAAGGTGATTTTATGTCTCCTGCTATCCCCCCCCCCAAAGAAAGCAATCTGAAAAATTATTTTGTATATAGGAAGAGGTACAGGCCTATAAATTATGTCAGCAAGGTGAGCTATACGTTATGACGTGCACGGAACAATAAAAGAGGATTGTATCATTCCCCACCCCTTAATAACTTTTGAAACGGCGAAACGACTTTCACGAGCACGAGTGCAATATTGTCGTCACTGAGAGGTGCTCAGACACATCTCATCTCTTGTTTCCTGTAAAAGTACAACACTGCGCCCGTGAAAAATTTTGATCTGTAAGAACATTAAACCCTTGATTGCGTAGCCGTAAAATTTCTGGTTATAAAGGGTAAATCTGCCGATTTTATGACGTATCTGCTTCCTCCCTCTGTGGAGGAGAGTTGAAACTAACCCTGGAACAAATAACTAATTTTCATTGCCACTGCACGCAAAAAGACATGTCGCAAAGCTGTAAAAATTAGTCTGTTTAATTGCTCTGCCGCCCTTTGTTGGATCTTGGCCGCATTTACTGAACATTTACACAGCCGGTAGGGTTCCTTGGACGGGGGATCAGCCTTCTGTAACTTCATCTCTCTTCGGTCCAAATATTCTCCTCAGCACCCTGTTCTCAAACACATTCAGTCTGTGTTCCTCCTTTAAAGTCAGAAACCAAGTTTCACACCCATACAGAACCACAAGGAAAATTATTTGTTTATATATTTTTAGACAGCAGACGAGAAGACAAAAGATTCTGGACTGAATGGTAGCAAGCATTACCCTAGTTCAGTCTCCTCTTAATTTCCTCCTGAATCAGGTTTTGATTTGTTATAATTGTTCCAAAATATCTGAACTGTGCCACATTTTCAAAACGTCGGTTTCCTATCTTTATGGCATGACTTTATCCCATATTCTGGTAACGAGACAGCAACATAAACTTAGTTTTCTCCGTGTTTACGTCTAGACGAACCTCCTTACTAGCACCAATTAAAGTCTGTGTTTTTATGGTATCTATATTATCACCCAGTAGATTCAGGACTGACCAACAGATGATGTGTTCCATTTAATTTCAGTCCCATCTGGTTTTCCTGGACCTTCCTAATGGCATATTAAAAGGCAAAGTTGAAAAGCTGTGCCGTTAAAGCGTCTCCTTGTTTTAAACCATTCAAGATAAGAAAACTATGAGACAAATACTTTTCTTTCGTCTAAACACGTTTAATCAGCCTATTTT